TTGTGTTGTAAGTATGCCTCCAGTAAAACATTAATCCTTTCAATCTGTTCATCACTTTCAAGGTGAAAGCTTGTAGAGAAGTTTAATTCTGATCTTAAAATATTGAACAACTCAGGCCATAATTTGCGAGTAAAGCCAGGATATCAGTCAATAACAATGTTCTTTTAAACTCCATATAATTTAATTACGTTGATAATTTAATTTCGATCCTAAAATATTGTACATCTCAAGCCAAAATCTTCGAAACAATGTTCTTTTAAACTCCATATAATTTAATTACGTTGATAATTTAATTTCGATCCTAAAATATTGTACATCTCAAGCCAAAACCTTCGAATAAAGTGAGGATCTCAGTCAATAACTATGTTCTTTGGAACTCCCTATTAGTTGGGATTCCCTATAATTTAATTAGGTTGTGAATATATAACGGGCAAGTTCAACTATACAATTAGTTGGGGCGGCTATAAAGGTTGTGTATTTTTTGAATCTGTCCACCAAAACTATTATGTTTCCAAATCCTTCAAACTTTTGTAGGCTAGAAATGAAGTCCATAGAGAGATTTTCTCATGGCCTCTCACGATAAGTAATGGTTCCAACAAGCCTCCTGGTTGTTAGTTTGTCTCATCTTGTTGGCAAATGAGGCAAGTTTGTATGTACTCTTCAGTATCATCTTGCATCCTCGACCAATAGTGAGTAGGTTTTAAAAGAGCAAATTTGCACTTCATTCTTGGATGTCCTACTCATAAGGAGTAATGAAACTCCTTAAGCAACACCTTTCTCAGATTTCTCTTTCTTGGCTTGTATATTTTCTTGTGCTTGGTATAATTGATGTCTTCCTCAAGCTTAAATCTTCTGGTTTTGCCCTGATTAATCAAGGCAATAATGCTCTGAGCTTGATGATCGACTTTTAGTTATTCCTTGATTCTTCTTGTTAGTGAACTAGTGACTTGTGATAGGCTTGCAACGTTGTTTTTTTGACTCAATGAATCAATTGCCGCATTCATCTTTTTTGGTTTGTAGTTCATGGTTTAATCAAATTCAGCTAGAAAATCCTGCCATCTTCCTTGTTTTGAACTCAATTTATTTTAGGGTTTGAAAAGAAATTGTAGCAATATTGTTAGTCAAGATTATAAATCTTAACCCGAGTAAGTAGTGTTTTATGTTCGAAGGAAGTGGATGATTATGGTCTTTTTTTTTTTATCATGTGATGATCATGTGATGTCATTATGTTTCAATTGAGCTTCCTACTTTCAAAGGCAATTGGATGCCCTTCTTGCATAGAAATACCACCAATAGCAAAATTTGAAGCATTAGTGTGAGCTTCAGATGGCCTAGCATGGTCAGGTAGTTGGAGTACAAGCTTTTTGCTTATTGCCTTTTTGAGATCTTCAAAAGCTCTTTGGGATTCCCCTGTCTATGCCCATGGTTTGTTCTTCTTAAGCATATATTAGAGCTGCTTTTGTTGAGTACCCCTTGATTAATCAGTGATAGTAGTTGACTAAGTCGAGGAAGGATCTTAGTTCATGAACTTTTGACGGTGGTTCCTAATCTTGAATAGCACATACCTTACTATCTTCTATCATCAACTTGCCATCCTTGATCCTCTATCTAAAGAATCCCACTTCTGACGTGGCGAATGAGCTTTTTTCTTTCTTAACATGTAACACATTCTCTAGATGAATCGTGAACACATAAGTGCATCATATGCTTTTCGATGGTCTTGCTATACACCACTATATCGTCGTAGTAGATGACTATGAATTGATCAAGGTATTGGTGGAATAGCTTGTTTATTAAGGTGCAAAATGTTGCTGGTGCATTGGTTAAGCTAAAGGGCATAACAAAAAAATTCATAAGAACCATCCACTATCCATATTTTGTAGTTACATGAACAAAGATCTCATTTTGAGCAGTATCGAACTTCACCCAATTGATCAAATATTTCAGGAATCAAGGGAATATGATACTTATTCTTAATCGTGATGTTATTGAGAACCCTATAGTTGATGCACATGCGTAGTGATCTATCATTCTACTTCTGGAATTGGGGATTTAGGAGGTCAGATGAACCCAACGTCCAATGATTACTTGAATTGTTTCTTCATTTTGATAATTTAGGAGATGTCATTGTAAGGGCCCATTGTTGGCGTCTTGGCCTATGATACTAACTATTACAGACTAACTTTCTTCAAGCTAACCGTGCGGCATTAGCACACTTTTTTGGTGCCATGTCAACCTAAATTTCAAGATTACTAGGCTAGAACATTGAGAACTTAAGATGGTATAAGAACTTTGAAAGAGAGTAATTATATAGTACTTTGGGAGAAGTTTACAATGCTAAGAACTCTTATTCTTTTTATGGATGATTTACAAATGTGATGGTGGCTCCTATTTATAGGCCCCCACCTGAAATAGATTACATGTGTGGATGATTCTAAAATACACTACATTATTCTTATATATATAGAATATTCTGATAGTTCTAGAGACATGAATTATCTTGAGTCTCTTAAATGTGTCTGGATTATAGAATCTTTTAGAACTATCTAGAATATGATGTCTTGAATATGACGTCCTATTTCAGATTCTTCTAAAAGCTTCAGCTATAAATTATCCAAAAATATGTGATTAGATTCTTGCTTTTTCAACTGGATGTGACATAAATGGTTTAAATTTAGGTTTGTGTTTTAAAATGTGGACCTTTTTTATTTATGGCTATATAAGAGAGAAAATAAATAAGCTCCAAATAATCAATCTTTAGAGCAAGGAGAACTGAGGGATAGTGGAGAGAATTTTATCATCCCCTCCAAAAAGGTCATTCTTCTAAACACTAAACCAATTTCACATTTGCATTTATCACCTGATGAGAATTTATTGTTCTATATTTTTATTTCTTGTAGCTTAAAGAGACAAATTGATGCACAGTTTTGTGCGACATCTTCTAAGTTTGCATTTAGATAGATATTGAATTTTGAAATTTTTATTGTGTTCAATTTTGTTGATCAAGTTTTATTTGGACATGAATCTGGAACAAACTTTGAATTCAGAATTAAATTTTGATAAGTTAAATAATGTGCTTTTTTTAAAATAATATTCGGATAAAAGGGGAGGCGAAGGTCCCAGCAGAGGGGATGGATCTCCAACGTTGAGTCCTCTCTAACAATTACAATAAATCCTTCGTAGATGAATGAAGTTGGGCCAATTCTTAAGACGCCTTGCATTTGTGTTATAAGTACCATTGCGTCTGGAAATGCGGCTATATAAAATTCATATTTGGAGATATGTTTTTTTAGTTTTCAGAAGTTATGTTTTTTATTAATCTTTTTTTGAGAATGATAGTAATGGTTAAGGATTAGTTCTAGATTAGTTTTGATGTATTTTTGTTTTTGAGTTTTTATTTTTATTTGTATTTTTTTTATAATCATGAGTCCATTTGTGGGGCATTGCAATTTGTACTTGTGATTCACTCTTTTTAATGTTTTTGTAACATATGATTGCACGGTTATTTTTCACCGATATCTTTCTTAGCATTAAGGATTAAGGTAATACTATTTTAGTCTAAAATAAATAGAAAATGTTTATGTTGTCTTTACATATGTTTGCTTTTTCAACTCCCCATTTTTTGCTTCCTTAAATCATATATTTTTAAGATGTATTTTTGTCCATGTTGGTATTTGCATTGGAAAGTTCATGTTTTTTTGTCACAGTTTCTAGCTTTTAGTCCTATTATAACTAAGAAATCAACTGTCAAGTAAATATAAATCACACGCCTGTTAACATTCTTTGACAACCTTTGTGTGTTATCAGGGAGTTGTGAGCTAAAAATTGACTAAAAATTTTTTATTCTGAGTCAAAAATGACTTGAAAATTCTTACGATAGTGAGAACATAGCAGAGTGTTTTGAGGCCTAGTTTTTATTTGGATTTGCAAGTCTATTGTTTTGAATTTTTAGGTGAAAAATTAGTTCCCTTGAAAAAAATAAGTTATTTTAAATTTAGGTTTGCTTTTGTGTTTGTTTTTATACGTTGAGTGGGCTCGTCATTTATTAAAGCAAATTTGCACTTACAAGCTAAATCTCAAAGCCAATTTACAAATCCAGCAATTTCCGGACTCCATTTCCCAAACTTTTATTTAAATAGTGAAATTTATTATACGTCAAACATTGTTTGATGATACTTCTTTTCAGTTAGTTGAAATATTTCATAAATTAATCACATTGTAAAACAGTGATTAATGCTAAATTGTTTTTTTAAAATGTTACAAAAAGTGTTATCAGATTTCATAACTTATTACTTGATTATATGGTCTTTCATATCATCATCTGTATACTATCAAACCTTAAAGAAGCCTATTTAACTTTATTCATATTTTTTTTTAATTTAATTATGATCTTATGTATTGCTTTTATGCTACTTAATCTTTTATCCCCAAAATGTAAAAAAACTCATAAGCAATCAAATGAGTACTGCACGAATATTTTATTATTATAATATCGTTTGTCTTAGCTTAAAGATGCAGGGCATGTAAATTGTTTTTTTTTTTAAAGATGTTACAAAAAGTGTTATCAGATTTCATTACCTATTACTTGATTATATGTTGGGATTCGTAGTCTTTCTTATCATCATCTGTGTACTATCAAACCTTAAAGAAGCCTATTTAACTTTATTCGTAGATTTTTTAATTTAATTATGATCTTATATTTCAAGTATTGCTTTTATGCTACTTGATCTTTTATCCCCAAAATGTAAAAAAACTTACAAGCAATCAAATGAGTACTGCACGAATAATTTATTATTATAATATCGTTTGTCTTAGCTTAAGATGCATGGCATGCGAATATGTGGATTTGCTAGTCCAAATTTGTTTTCTGATGTAAATACTTTATTTCAAAATGGATTATATGCTTTTCTTTTAATGTTTTTGTAGCCACATTCATTTTTCTGGATTTGAGTTCTATTGATTGTTGTTCTTTTTATTTTATAAACTTTTTTGTTGTCTCTATTGCCAATGTCATTATTCTAAAAACTTTACCCTTAGGTTTAATTAACAGCTGATAGGTTTATGCCATATATAGCTGGTTTCATTATTTGGCACTATTCATCTTTATGAAATATAAGCTGCAGCACTTTCTCTCATTTTCTCCCTATATTCTATCATGGTATAAAAGTTCATCCTTGGCAGGTTCAATCTCTCTCAAATCTTGGCTTCAGAATCTTCTGCCTTCATAACATCTCCACCCTGTTTTTCTGTTTTCCTTGCATATGCTGAACAATTTCTTGATTCTGAAGCTTTGCATACCTGAATTGCTCTTCATTCTTTGAATTCTTTCGGATTTACCTTCATCTCCTGACCTGTTATCGCACATCAATTTTCAATTTATCGACCTATTTTAGATCTGCTATTCTCTTGATCGGCAGTTTTGAATCAGACCCTTCTTCGTTTATTCGTGATCCAAAATCCTCTGTAAATCAGACCCTCTACTCCTGATCTTGTCCATGGATTCTGCCAATTCTTCCACCGATGCCAACACATTTCAGTTTTCTTCTCCTCCTATACCTCCACTTAAATTCCTTATGGGAAACATTAAAAATCTGGTCACAACTCAATTAACCACATATAATTTTCCCATTTAGCATTCTCAGATTTACAAATTATTCAAAGCTAATGGGTTTGAATTCCTTCTTGATGGGAACCTCAATCTGCCCTCTTCCGTTAACCAATGATAATTTGGTTAACAACGCCCACTATAGCTGGAAACTAATCGATCAAAACCTCGCTGCAGCTCTTTATTCCAATATCTCTTCATCTATCTTTTCTCATGTGTTAAATCTTGATACTTCTATCATTATTTGGAGAACTTTGTCAAAAAGATTTCAAACCTCAAGTAGATTTGGGGTCATACAACTCAAGAATGAGCTTCATAACATCTCTATGAAAACAAACTCCATGAATCAATATTTGATCGAAATCAAAACTTTGGTGGATCAAATAGTTGCTGCCGGTTCCCATGTTGATTCTGAAGATATTATCTTTTATATCTTAAATGGTCTTCCCACCTCCTATAATTTTTTCAAAACTTCTATTCACACGAGGTTTGAACCCATTTCTCTAGAAGATCTTTATGCTCTCTTATGCAGCGAGGAAATTCACTTAGCCACCATCGTCGCAAAGGAACAAAGCTTATAGCTCAGCTAACGCTGTTTTCCAATAGGGGTCACGGTCGTACCAACTTCTGAAATAGAAGAGGAAGATCGTCAACGAATTCCACGTCGATCGGTCGACCAAGATCTTCAACTGCTTGTCAAATTTGTGGAAAGATAGAGCACGCCACCTTCTCCTATCGGCATTGGTCCAACTTAGCGTATTCCCAAATTTAATTCTCAATCTAAATTTCAATCACATACCACGCTCATGGCGGATCTGAAATATGATTTATCCACTGATTGGATTCTTGATACAGGAGCTTCGTCACTTATGACACCCAACTACAACAATATTCAGCAACCACAATCATATAGTGGTAATGAATATCTTGAGATTGGCAACGGCGAGAGTCTTCTCATTCAGCATAGTGGCCAAGGAATCTTACCAACTCCAAACCGTAAATTTCTTCTTAAGAGACTTTTACTTGCTTCTCCTATCTCTCATAACTTAATATTTGTGCATAACTTTGTTCGGGACAATAATTGCTCATTTTAATTCGATTTAACTGAGTATCAAATAAAGGATCCCAAAACGAACAACCAACTTCTCACTGGACGCGCCAAACAAAGTCTACTCGGTTAATCCTCAAGAAGACAGCAGAAAGCACGCTCTCCATACTCCAGTTATATCGAACACTGATTGGCACCAAAAGCTCGGGCATCTCAATGCTGAAGTACTCAAGCTCATATAATTCCTTATATCTGCTTCCACTACTAAATGTAGAAAGTACTCAAGCTCATCTTGCATCAGGATAATTCCTTATATCTGCTTCCACTACTAAATGTAGTCACTGTATGCATGCTAAGAGTCATAAATTGTTGTTACCAAGTTCAATAAATTGCAGCAATAAACCATCACTTGTTGGATATTGATGTTTCGGGACCATCTCGTCTTATCGATTTATGGGTTTAAACACTATCTTCTATTCGTTGATGATTGTATTTGTTACTCTTGGTTAATACCTTTGGCAAACGAGCCAGAAGTTCTCTCAAAGTTTATTCAATTGCATAAACTCATCATTAATCAATTCAATACTTCTGTCAAAGCACTTCGAATGGATGGATATCTCATGCTTTCCAAACATATATCTTCAAATGGAATACATCAACTAAGTTGTCCTTACACTCCACAATAAAATGGAGTGGTAGAACGTAAACAACATCACATTATAGAAACGGCATGAGCTCCCTTACTCACCCAATTGCTACTCAAATTCAGGATCGATGCAGTACAAACAACTACTTATCTAATAAATGGTATGCCGTCAAGAAACGCGAAGCACCTCTCACCCTTTCAACTATTGTATCATACAGCTTCAAGCTATGCTCATCTGCGAATATTGAGCTTATCTTGTCATCCGTGGCAACATCACAATCCTACCAACAAGCTGCTAACCAAAGCTTCTCTTTGTATAATTTTGGGTTACTCCACTCAACACAAAGGTTTTTGTTGTTATAATCCTACAATCAAAAAATTTATCATAGCTTGATATGTATTGTTTGATGAAGAATGCTTCCCATATCATTCTTTACCCAATAACACATGCAATTCCCCTTCCACCTCATACATACCACCCCTCATGTTCATACCTGGCAAAGTAGCTGATATTCCCACCATTACTGTGCCGAAAGGTATCTCGGGTACTGGTCAATCATCACCAACCAAACCTTCAATACGAGAGCAATAGTTTTCATTTCCACAGAGATACACCGAACCAATCATCCATTGTATCAGCTTCATCCCACCAAACTACTGCCTCATTCACAATTATCAGCTGGAGAGGTATCTCCAACTCTAGGTAGGTTCTCTAATCCTACCTCCATTCATCCGATGCAAACCAGGTTAAAGATAGGCATGTTGAAACCCAAAAAAAATTTAGATTTACGACATCAACTCACTGCAGTACCCGAACCAACTAGCTTCAGTCAACCAATGAAGCTTTCTTAGTGGAGAGAAGTTGTCTTAAGAATTTCTTGCACTGCAACTTCAAGGGACTTGGGAACTAGTCTCTCCAACCTCCGATTGCATGGTATATGATGCAAGTGGGCCAATAAAATCAAAAGGCACTCTCAAGCTACAAAGCCCTGTTGGTAACTAAAGAATTTATGTTTCCAATTAAGGAGATGGGGCAAACAACAATATTTATAGGTATTCAATTTCACAAGATGGAATTCGGATACCATTTAAATCAAACTTTATACACTTTAGAACTGCTAAATAAAATTGGAATGTAGAATTGTATAAAGCTACTCTAAAGTAACTAGCGACAAAGACACACAACAATCATTCTCGGATATCACTCTCCATTGACAACTCATCGACATGCTACAGTATCTTACGGTCATTAGACTAGATATCACTTATGCGGTCAATAAGGTGCCAACATATGCATTCGCCAACACATGAAAACGTCCAACAAAGCAAATGCATTCTTCGATATCTTAAAGGAACTCCAACTCATGGACTTCGATTCACCAACTCCTCTACAGTTCACTCTTATTTAGAATCGGACTGGGAAGGGGATCCCATTACTAGAAGGTCCGTATCAGGAAATTGCATGTGCTATGGTGAGAATTTGATTTCATGGAATGTCTAAAAACAAACTACGGTAGCCAAATCTTCTACAAAGGGGGAGTATCACACACTCTCTTTGGAAACAGTAGATGTCATATGGATTCAACGACTAACTGAATTTCACTTATCTATGGACATTCCTACTATTTTTAGTGATAACACATCAACAATTCCCCTAACTAATAATCCTATCTTTCATGCCCGCACCAAGCACATAGAAATTGATCATCACTTTTTTCGAGATCAAATTGCAGCAAACATAATTAAAATTCAATATATAGCCACTCAAGGTCAAATTGTGGATGTATTCACAAAAGCTTTTTCTACATCTAATTTTCAAAGGCTTAGGAACAAACTTGACATCCATCCACTAGATGATAAGTTTAAGAATATCATTATTGTAAACACCTTACTCTTAGGTGCAACTATATGATAAGTAAACATCCAACAACTCATAGGTTTGTGCCTATATATAACTGGTTTCATTATTTGTAACTATTCATCTTTATGAAATATAAGTTGCAGCACTTTCTTTCATTTTCTTCCTATATTCTATCAGTTTCAAACTATCAATCCTAATCTGACCTCCACTGAGGTAGGAAGAATTTAGTTGTGGTATGAATACTTGGTTTATTTTGGTTTGTTTGCTAAATTTGAAAATGATTTTCCAACTGGGCTTTCGTTTGGATTGGTGCCATCTTATTACTATGATTTTGAAAGCTATAATGTGTGGTGTCTTCTATGGAGGAATTATAAGTTGTGCACAATATTATATTCAACTTTCAAGAAAATTGTTATGTCAGGACTCCTAACGTAGAGAATCATTCGAAGTCCAATAAAATCGCGTCGCGTGGCGGTGACAAAAAAAATAAAATATGCCCGGTAAAAATAAGTGAATATTTTTTTCATGTTATTCAGGTGTCATTGTGTGTTAATTAAGTGTTATTGATGTGTTATTGTGTTATTATTATATCGGGAATATTCCGAGAACACAATAATATCTGAATAACACGGAACAACACGAGAGGAGTATTTCCCTATGCCACCGGGTTGATTTTTATTTTTTTTATGTCGCTGCTATGTGACGTGATTTCATTGGACTCCGAATGATTCTCTATCTTAAGAGTCCTGACAGAATCTTAGGAGTCCTGACAGAATAATTTTCTCAACTTTCAATAAGAATTTTCAGATGCATAAAACATCATTTTTCAATATTTACACATCCGATACCGTAACATAAATTTTTTACATGCATGATTCTCATTTCCTTAATATCGCATTAAATTTACATTTATTAATATCTTTTAATTATGAAATATACCTTTTAATATATAGGTCTGTCGGTCAGAACATTGACTTGGTTGGTTTTTTTAAGAAAAATTAAACTTAATATAAATATAATTTTGATTTGTCGATCAGAGTTTGTCGGCTGGAGAATTTCTTTTGGAAAATTCAATCATTTTAATATAATAATAATATATTTAGGTAATTGTGATTTTGAAAAATAGTATTTTAATTTTGAAATAAATAATATTTTAATTTTTGAAATAAATGAGATCAAATAGATCTCTATAGACGGTCGAGCGTAATATCATAAGTAATACACTATCCCGAAGAATAAACATATTACTTGTAGTAATCTTAACCACCAAAACCAATGAGTTTTATGACACGTTTTATATGCGAAACTTTTTATGTATGATCGATATGTTCCTCTACCTAATATAAAGATTAGATTAGGTTTATTTTAACTGGATTTACATCTTAAATAATCTAAGTCATTTAAGAAAACTCTCGAATAAGATCAGTGATTCTGTCTTTAAGATTTTCAAAGTTTAGGTTCTCAAGGCTGGACATAGGAGAGTTAAAAGGGAATGACTTAAAATAGGAATAATTATTTTTAGGAATCCAAAGGAACGAAGAAGTAGGATGTCATGGATCCGGGAAAACGTCGGTGACTTCCCAACTATCCTAATTTTGACTTTAAGTCTTTGAAATAAAGTTATTTAATATTTAATCCTATATTTTAGTTTAGGATTTTGGACTTACATTTGCACGATATCCGATCGTGCAAATAACCTAGAAAGATGGGAGAGTTTACATTGTATCGTACGACAACCTTGGAATTGTAAGTGTTAGGATATTGCCAACAGGATTGTGCAAAGCCTAAAGACAATGTGAGAATTTAGGTTGCGCTAGGCAAACCACATCGAAATTCTATGGTTTGTTATTTAAATTAAGGAAAAAGTTTAGCTATAGATCTATTATAATCTTAATTCGTAAGTAGATGTCCTTTACTTGCATCCTTGTCGTACTGCCCTCGAAATTCGCTTCATGCTCCATGTTGTAGCAAGATCAAGTAACAGGTTTAAGGTGTAAGGTGTACATGCAAAGGTTTAGCCAGTGTCCTACCGCGGTGTACCTCCTAGCATATGTCCTATTGTTCTCTATCTTATGGGGCTCCTACATGTATACTAAAGTATGCACAAGTGAAATATATAGTGAAATGGAAATGAAAAGTGCAGTAAAGAAAAACAATATAAAGGGAAATGCAGTAAAGTGTGCAGTAAGGAAGAGTGGTGAAATGTATAAACAGGATATGCTATAAGAATGTACAATAAAGGAAAGCAGAAGAATGTACATTAAAGAAAAACAATGAAATGTACAGTAAGGGACAGTAAAAAAAATGCAATACAATACTATAAATATACTGTAAATTTTAGGTACTTAATTTTCTTGTTATTGTTGTTCTTGTAAATGGGATTAGCGCCTTAGGTAAAAATATAATAGAGAATTTAATAGGTAAAGTAAACATGTATTTAAGTGTAGAGAATAAGCAATAAAACATCACATAAAAAAGCTTGAGAAAAAGTCACAAATGACTAACGAAAACTCAAAGAAAATTGTATGAAACACACAGAAAACTTGAAGAAATCCTTAAGCGTTCAGGCTGGGTGGGTTTAGATATAGGCTATGTGCTTTATAATCCAACTTTGGGTAGCGTTTACCAGCTGAAATTATCGAAGAAGGGCAACTCCTAACCACAATCGAAACATTTAACCAGTGGACCTCTATATAATAGGAGTGTAGTATTTGTATAGATGTGT